ATTGGCTTGTATCATTCAAGCTTAGCAGGACAAAACATGGCGCAGTGTCTTCTTGATATATTAAAAGCTACCACGGTCTGTAACCCGCGATGTCTCGTTCATTACCTAATCCGTTGCTACTTCCACACCGCAGCAAGTCCTTAGGCCTGGATTCTGTGGAAGGAATTCGAAATACTATTTAAAAAAAATAAAAAGTTCCGTGAAAAAGTACCTCAATCACAAATGATCGTTGATGACTGTGCGCCGTCGATCGGACCGAATCAACGGCTTCGGTGATTCGATGCAAAGCGGTATCCGTTCCAATGGTCATATCGGTGCCGCAAAAATCGTTATCGATGGAACCCACAATCCCGACGATTTGGATCGATTTACATTTTCCAGCCTGTTCCTCGGTGATCAACTTTTTCTGTAGCAATTCCTCGATTAAACTGGGCCACTCGTTCCGAAACGTATTGGCACCGGTTAGTGATCCGTCGCCACCGATACAGACCAGCGCCGAGATTCCGTGCTGTATCAGATTTGCGGCTGCTTTTAGGCGTCCCTCTCGCTGCATAAAAGCCTTGCATCGTGCCGATCCAATCACAGTGCCACCTTTCTGGATGATATCTGAGACTGTTTCCCAGCTCGCTTCACGAATAAATCGTCCACCATCCACCATACCCTGATAGCCTTCGTGAATACAGTACACCTTGCAGCCAAGGTACAGCCCCATTCGTACCACTGCTCGTACCGCACTGTTCATTCCAGGCGCATCGCCGCCACTGGTGAACAGGCCCATCACGCGACCTTGGTATTTGCCTTTTTCAATCAACGCTCCCTCATGTCCATCAATTGCTTTGATTTGCATTCGTGCCTCTGACACAATCTCGGACGTCTTAGCACTTTCCGGCAAATCACCGAGCACATCTTCTGTCTCGGCCATCCGCTACCCAATACCGAAACCTTATGAAATGATCAAACCGTTAAAATTACTTTCTTAAATACCTAGAGAAAGACCGAATTTAATTTTCAAACTTTTGAATATATGCAAATTACTGCCTCCAACTTTGCTAATATCGTAGGTTGCAAAACGTGGTTGCAAAAGAAAGCAGAAGAGCAAAAGCTGGAAATAAGTGATCGAAAGAACATTGAAAACATAGGCCATTAACAAAACTAGAAGAGCTTAAGTATCAGGCAGTGTCCTACTTAAACAAATTATGCAAGGACGCAGCTGAAAAATTTCCCAGTTACTTTGACCAGTGCTGCACTGTCTACGGGTCAGCCTGTTACTGGCAATTTTGAGGCTTATTTTCTGTAATTCGAGTGTATCGCAATGCAAAATGCTTCGAATTTCAACATAAGATGCTCAGGACTGACATCACAGTAAACAATATAGATATGCATACACAAACGCGAGCAAAAGAACGATCAGTATTTTAAAAGCATCGGTATTTTGAAGAATACAAACTGGGGTTAAGAACCAAAGTAGCTTCAGGATCATACTCTTTATGAAAAGCCAAATTTTCAGTATTTTTGGACTAACCGCAAAGAAGTTTAACATCAACGATCAGCCGCTGAAAACCATCTAAGATGGTTGCTCAAGAACCAAGCTAAAGACATTGTGTTTGACAAGCAAAAATTTAGACCATCGAAACAGATCACTGACCAGTACATTTGTCCGCCGACCAATCAGAACTGGCGATTCTGGAGGAAGGTACTATAAAAATCCAAGGATATCAGTATCGCTCAAGCAATCATTGTGGGTATCCCATGTTAGTGATGTTACTGAGATGTTCCCGCACGCTAGGCGTAACCCTTCGATGCTGAGATGCATACCTCCTTTAGCACCCACAAT